TCATTCTTCTCAGGGGAACTGGCTTTCGAATAAGCGGTAGAGTTTAACCAATATGACGATATCAAGTGTAATAATGCTTACCTATGAAATAAAAATTTTGATTTTCCTTGTTATACTAAGGTTATCAACAATTCACAATGATAGTAATACACACACACTCATAGCCCCGCACTAGGGAAAGCCATGGACACACACACACACAGACAACCACAAATCATACCCAATCTCCGAGAGAAATAAATGTAGGCCATAATAATATTTTTCCCAGCTTGGGAATCGAACCTGGGACCTCTGTGTAACAGACCACGTTAGACCACGGAAGCAGTTAGTCATAGTTGATTATATCAGAGAATAAGTTTATTTGAATATCACGATCTTTTACTACCACGATATGATTTTTTTTTGTTAAATTACTCCACTAGCTTGTTACAATTATTAATACAAATATTGAACACCTATAAAAATTCCTTCCATCCTTCCGGATGAATTAGTACCAGCGCCTTCAGCATACCGTGCCTGTCGCTATCCTTACAGAGCTACGGAACGAACCAGCAGACGTAACGAATTCTCCCATGTGCTTGTTGCAGACCTTTATTTTTATATTTAAATCACTTTTTATCCATTTGTTAAGTTAGTAAATAAAAGTTGAACTGCCTACATAGTACAAGGCAGTCTGCAACAGTTGTTATTTTATAAGGCATGATTTTGGGAAGACCTACGTAGCAGGAGACCCCTGTGAAAGAGTTCGTCCATGGAAGTGTTGCCACCTTAACTATTTCTGCCGCCAAGCAGTAATGTCAGCATTACTGTGTGCCGGTTTTGAAGGGTAAGGGTGCTAGTTAAATTACAGGCACATGAGACTCGTTAACTTATGTCTCAGGGTGACGGGCACAGTGGCAGTGCCCCTCAGATCTTTGCGATTTAAAGCTCTGAATGGCACTGCAGCTGTTATGTACAGGCGCGCAGCTTACCATCAGGCGTACGACTTGTGCGTCCTGTCACTTGATATTATAAAAAAAATACGCGCATTCTCCTAACCTAACCTAACAAGCTAACAAAAGTTTCCAAAAAATTTTCAACAAAGAATTTGATACTTGGTTCTCCTCTAGCTGTGGCTCACTCAACGTATACTTGTCGGACGACGTACCGAAATAACCGCTTATGGTAATTATCTTTCAAACTACAATGGTACATCCCTAAATAATGTCAGGATTAGTGGCCCTGACACATCGATCACGCCTACGCTGATGACACTCTATTGTCCCGCGTTGATGATACAATACACCTGCAACCTTTGATATATTGAGTGTGATATAATAAACATAACAGGTACAAACAGTCACCACCGACATGATTTGTATCCCGAGATGTAGGTAGGTTTCTATAATATTTTCAATTGTGTCGATTTTGCACAGATGTGTGTTTCAAAAACCGACTTCAAAAACAGCATAAGTGGATCCGGTCGGATTCGAACCGACGTCTTCTTGCATACCGTGCCAGACGCTATACCAACTAAGCCACGGAACGAACCAACGGACCTCACGAATTTTTGTATGTGCTTGCGTCGTGTCTTTGTACTTGGTCTTTCAACGACTTTTTAGTCGGATCGAAGGAATTTTTTCTGAGTGTTTTTCTGAGTGTTCGTTCTTTGTATTAATAATTATAACAAACTAGTGGATTAATTTCACAAAAAAAAAAAAAATATCAATTCAATAAAAAAATTTAGTTAGCATAAGTGGAGTTACGTCAAACACGTTTATTGCTCCATTAGATACAGTGAAATATAACCCACATCCTCTCCAATTCTTGTAACTCTATCTATAATAATAGTCGATAGAGTTACAAGAATTGGAGAGGATGTGGGTTATATTTTTCTGTATCTAATGTAACTTATGCCAATCTTCCACGCGAAAGGGGAGGACGACTCGATTGAATTTTTTTGTATGTTTGTTTATACTCTTATTTATGAACCGATTCTGATGACTCTTTTTTTATTGGAAAGAGTATAACTTCAGTATTGGAAAAGAAAATATTCCAGCTCTAAGAATGGCAAACTAGGAGATGGATCCGGTTTCGCGCACTTTCCAGCAACCGACTTCAATAAAACTTGGCAAATAGATGTAATTCCACGACCTCTTGAGGTCGATTTTTTAGGATTCTGTACTGAGATTATTATGGCACCAAATGACGGGATTAACAAGTGTGCATTGCAGGTGCAGTGCCACTAATTCAGTAAAGTTGACAAGTCCCATGTGTCTGTAATTTCCCCAGCACCCTTCAAAACTGGAACACAGTAAACAAAAGAAAAATACAAGAAAAGCGTAGTCGTGGTAGAAGGAAAACCTAGTAGTTGAAGAATATAAGTTCCCTTTTTCGTGTGGCAGCTTCAAAAATGAGAGTAGCCGTGATGGTCGCCAACCTTCGTAGAGAAGCGGCACACTATGAATAAGAAGGCAACAGTTCCCTGGACGAAATCTTGCACAAGAAGTTCTACTGCTGCATCGTTCTTAACCAATAAAGCGGAATACTAAGGAGATTCACGTACTGCATAACCCGCGGTAGCTGGGTCATAGCCCAATTTGTATTCTTTTTTTATCATACTTTTATACAATATGTGCAAAATCAAAACCTGCTAATATATTTCAAGAAAGAAAAAAAATTATCGTTCCAATTTGAATTTAATTTTTAATTTTTACTTTTTTGTACCTACATTAAGACTTCAATGAGCTCCATTCCACCATTAAAAAAAATCAAAAATATCTAATAGGTATTTTCAAAACCAATCACTTAAGTAATCACATTATTTGTTTTTAATAAAGTCCTTCAATTATCAGCGGTCTCACTTAAAAAATCTTTAGACACCTATGAGTGTAGTCAAAATGGCGGATTGGAAGTTCGCCATTTTGATAGTTTGCGGACTCAAAATGGCAGATGAAGCTTTATGGTAAAAAAAACAAATCTTATTGCCAGTAATAATACAACTTTATAATTTATATCATAAGTTCAACCTTACTCTTTGCATCCGACGTACTGTACCAGTTAGTATTATATAACTACAGATATTATCTGACCTCTCGGAACGGCTCAATCAACCCTCTCTCCTCGTAATAAGAACCATCACGTAAATCGGTTTTGCGCCGCGAGTGCTAATTCTTATCAGAGCATTCATCTTTCAAGGGTTCTTAATTAGAATCAGCTAGACAATTTTATCGTAGACGTGCGACTTTTCGACGAATTTTTTGTCGTTTTTGGATGAAAATTTTACATTTTTGTAACCAACAATTTTTAGTCTACCATGAGACTATATCACAACTAAACAAAAACAGGGACATTACCATATGTGCGCGAAAATGCCTTGATATTGCAGCATAATGCATTCTGCTGTTCCTGACATGAATATATATGTTAATAATAGCTTTGTAGTGCCCCGATACGCACAAAGATAAAATAAAGAGAAGTGAAACAATTTTTCACTTTGTTATTTTTTTTTGGGACCTGTAAACACCCCGGAACGTCGGTTTGTTTGAAAAAACAAATATACGCGATTTAAATCCGGAAAAATAGTTTCATTTCCTATGTTTAACCATCGCGAAAACCTAAGAACTCGATATTGTTTCTATAGTTACAAGAACCAACAATAAAAAAAATTCTGTATACTTACACCAAAAAATTATAAACTACATTATGTTAGTATGGAAAGAACGGGACGAACAAGCCGTGCGCCTGATGGTAAGCTACACGCCTGTCCGTAACAGTTGCAGTGCCACTCAGAGCTTTAAATCGCAAAGATCCGAGGGGCACTGCCACTACGCCCATCACCCTGAGACATAAGTTGACAAGTCCCATGTGCCTGTAATTTCACCAGTACCATTACCCTTCCAAACTAGAATACAATAATACTGACATTAGTGCTTGGCGGCAGAAATAGGTAAGGTGGCAGTACTTCCCTAGACGAACCCTTTCAGAAGCTCTACTGCTACGCCTCCTAATAATAGTCGCACAAACTTTTAGTCGCAAATCTTCAACATCCAAGATAGCGAGTAACTGTTGCTCTGAGACAAAAGGAATTCTACTGATTTATCGGCGGGCTCAACTAATGGAGGATTTGAAGATATAAATTACGAACCCTGACGGTGCAATTAACAACGTTGCTCTGTATTGATGTAGGGTTTGACGTCGACGTTTGGTATATCAACGGTTCATTCTGTTTAAATCATAGTCTAAATTTAAATTATATTTTTTAATCTACGGAATAATTTTTATCTCCAGTGTCCAGGATTGGTCCATCAGATGATAACTAATTATAAATGCTAACTACAATTTTAAGGATTTTTTTTTAAATTAATTGAAATACCATAACTTTAACTTTTGTAGTATTTGTACAATTTTTTGTAAGCAAAGCTTGGAAACTACGTAATATTGTTTAAAAAAAAATCACAGAATTGTATACAACTACCACCAGAAACCTGACTAATTATATGATCGCTTCATTATCATTCGATACATTCAAAGATAATACTAACCTTTTAAAAAATCGGTTAAGGATCCCAAACAAAAATTTATAAAAAATACCTAGAACATTTAACATTTTAAAACAAGTGCCTATGTTCTTTGTTCTCGCAGTTATCTGCATGTGTTCAGTACAGAATACAATGTTATTTGTCTTACGTGTAATTTAGTGTGTTAAGACCGCAAATGGGCCGTATGGTCCATCGCGGTTCGCGGTTCGGGCCGCGGTTAGGACTGGACTTCAGATTGAGGTTAGATGGGTCAATTTGAGGTTTGGGTGTGGCTAAGAGAGTAACGGAAGTGTGTATATACTTGTAAAATGACGAAAGCAACTAAGTTACGGAACGAACCAGCAACCCAACAACTTTTTCTTTGCGCTTGTTGCAGATCTTTGTGTTTGGTTTTTAACGACTCCTTTTTTGCCGTGGCGCCATCTATGAGAAATCTATGAAAGGTTCTTCTTCACTCAGCTCAATGTTTTTCTATTTCAGGTTACAAGATGTCACTAGCGGTCTGCAGAGACCGTCTGACGGGGTCCGATGCCCCGGAGCAACTGTGCGACGCGTCCAGTAAACCCCAGTCTTCTGTAGTCCGGTGTAATGTGCACCCGTGTCCTTTTAAGTAAGTTTTATGTAACATCTAATTTATATATTTTAATATACACACACCGGCGACATATTGAGATGGCATAAGGTGGACTTAAGTACTATATATGTACGTCCACAAAACTTTACAATTTCTACCTAATACCAATGAAGTTTAGGCCTTTTTTAGAACTATTTTTAGAAGTCACCACACTAATTAAGACTAAATCAGCTAGCTCAAAGCTAGTCTTAAAAAGCTTAATGTCCATGCAATATTCCATTAGATCGGCTCAGACCGCACCGACGCGAAACGTACAACGTCTTTTTCGCTTTAATTACATGGACATGTAGTTTTTACTGACCAGCTTAATGCGATTCCGTATCGCTAAGTATGGTGAATCCCTTAAGGCGCCTTCCTATGGCCTCATGACATGATATCACAGGCCGGTCCGTGTCACGCCGATTTGTACGGGCGAGCTCGCGCCACAGGCCTATACATATGAGCCCGCTCCGGTACGAGCGGCACTCTTCCTACGGCGCGTTGGCGCGAGCTCGCGTGGAGCGGCCTGTGACGCCACAGACCGTGAGAAGCTAGCTATTACACAGATAATATTTTTTTAGGTCCAGTGATAGTAGTACACTTCCAAACCCTTACAGCATCCTTACCCGTCAAAACCGGAACGCAGTAATGGTTACATTACTTCTAGGCGACTGGACTTTTTCACATTAAAGCTC